CAGTGCCTGGGCATTGAAGAGTTAGGTATTTATTGTAGTATTCACCATCTGGGCTTGTTTGTACCCATCCTTCTTAGGAAGGCTTTCCAGGTATTTGAAAATACTTGGGTGTTGTGATCTAAGCTACATTTGCATTGGGGCTACCCCAAGCCCAGTAACACTGTAGTTCTTACAGACTTGTAGGGGTACCACAACTTGGTGGTCTTAGATAACATGCAGAATAATTCTTTGGATTACAAGGCAAAGACTCTTGTTCTCTTTGCTTACTTTCTCCCAAACAAATGGAGTCTCTGTATTGAGTTGCCTGGAACTGAAGGTGGGGTGACACAAGCACTCCTTTGGTCACCACTACCGGGACTGTGCTGGCTCAGACCTGAAGCCAGCATGGCACCCTGTAACCATTTCCTATTACCTATGTTCACTCAAGGCCCTGGGGCTCTACAATCAGCAGATGATGAAGCCAGCCAGGTCTGTGTCCTTCCCTTGAGGGATGTGAGTTTCCTAGGTCCTGGGCAGGTCCAGAGATGCTCTCCCAGAGCCAGGGACTAGAGTTAAAAACCTTAGAAATCTGCATGGTGTTCTATTCTACTGTGGCTGTGCTGGCACTCAAGCCACATGACACAGTCCTTCCCACTCTTCCCTCCCCTTTCTATGTGCAGAGGAGCTTCACTCCATGGCCACCACCACTACAGGCCTATAGGGAATATTCCCAGGCTACCACTGATGCTCAATTAAGGCCTAAGGACTCTTCCTTCAGCTTGTGGTGAATACCACCAGGCCTGGAATTTATCCCTCAGGGCACCGGTTCCCCTCTGGCCCAGGGAAGGTCCAGAAATGCTATCCAAGACCTAAGACATGGAGTCAGAGACTCCAAGATCTCCCTTGGTCCTCTACACAACTGTGGCTGAGCTGTTACCTGGTTTTTGGTTCTTATGAAGGTGATTCCTTTGTGTAGACAGTTGTAAAACTTGGTCTTCCTCAAAGGATAAATGCTTGAGGGGAAGGATACCACATTTTCCATGATGTGATTATTCTGAATTGCATGCCTATATCAAAATATTTCATGTACCCCATAAATATATACATCTACTGTGTACCCACAAGAATTAAAAATTTAAATTTTTTTAAAACCTGGTGTTCCTGGGGAGGGCCATGATCAGTGGAGTCCTTATTCAGCCATCTTGTACTGTCATTCCTCTATCAATATCAATTTAACAAGGATTTATTAGCTATATTATTAACCTTTTTAAAATCCATCAGGCCAAATTAGTACTATCTGCAGAGTTTGTATCAACCATTTCATTCTAGTCATTGAAAAAAATATATTAATGCTCAAATATACTTCACCTGACTGCAATGTTTTCTTACCTAAGCTCCTATTGGATGAAAAAAACTGACACCAGTGCTTATTCCCTAGGAAATCACTCCCTAGTCAATAGCTTCCTTCTGAACCCATATAAGAACTTCCCAGGCCACGGGCAATGAAAAAAAAATGAATTCTTTTGCTCCAGAGCTTTCTTCACTAAGAGGGAGCTGATGAAGCTGTTGGCTGCCAGCTACTAGATGGCCCCATTTTAGTTACAGGAAATGCTGCCAAGTTGGACTGTATTTCTCAAAAAAAAATAGGCTGTTGTCCCCATCCCTTCCCTGACCACCCTGGAAATGTTCTTCTGTGAGAATACTTTCTTGGTCCTGGCAGGTCAGGCAGGTGCTGGTTCTTCGCTGTTTTCTTCTACCCATAGCTAATCCTTGTCTGATACTTTGGCCCCAAGATCACGAGAGCCTGAGTCCAATGTTGGGCATGAACTAGACTCCTTCTCTGTCCCCTACCCAACCAACTTCCACACCAAATCTCCAAGAAAAACCCTGGGAGCCTCACAGTACACTCTGGATGTTGCCACTATTCCCACCACTGTTCCTTTACTTAAATCACCCAAAGAATATGGGGGCTACAAGATCAAAGAGCCATCTGGTTGGCTTCTCACAACAAAGTACACAAGACCAACAGTGAAATATTGTTTTCTTTCTGTTTAATTGCAGTACCATTATTCAAATAATATTGCCCTTTATTTGTTTCTCCTACCAAAATAACATACTCTAACATTCATAGTTTAAATCAATTTAATGAGCTGGCCTAGGAACCCAACTCATATTTGTATTTCTCCTGTGGGTATAAGAGTATTCAACAATTGCTTATACAAATCAGCTGTGATCAAGGCATTGTCCTCAGTAAACCTAACTATCCAAACTTTGCAAATCACTTTATGCACTTTTGGAACCTAACCCACTTTTAGGAGAAGGACTTCCTGTACTGAATGCTATAAATAAATGAAGTCGGAAAAGTTTAACAGATTTCAGAATGAAGATAATGTTACATATGGGCAAACATTAACAGATGAAAACATAATTAGTATTAGGCCAATTCTCCTTTAAGCAAATTCTCCTTTAAGCATTATAAATATAATATGAACAGCTATTAGTGCTAAAATAAAACACTTGTCAATTATTCATAAGTGTTTCCAATCCTAAAAAAAAATCCACAATAAACAGATGCTACACACTGAGATTCAGAGATAGGTTCTCGACCTCATTCAATCTAATTTTTCTAAGAGTGTTTACTAAAGATTACTCATCACATGTATGTATCTGCCACTATAATTAATAGATATCTTATTCTTCCCATTTTAGGTTTGGCAATAGAAATTTCATTACCAGATAAGCCCACTTTGATTCTGATACAACCAAGGTAATTACTAAATCCATAATAAGGTGGTTATTTGGGGTCAGGATGATGATGAATCCTAAGCTTGTACTTGCTGAAAAGTTAATAATCTCTGCAAGGAGGGCTAACCTAAAGCTCAGAGAAACACATTAAAATCCTTCTGCATTTGTTATATATTGGAGGTTTTGGTTGGTTTTTTTTTTTTCTTTAGTCAGACATTTTTGTAATCCTAAACTACAGCAATACTGTCTGATATCCCATAATTCTCCATTATAGTAATAGTAATAGTAGGAACAGTTTTTTTAAAAAGAAATAGCACTGACATAACTGACACAAATACTCTATGCTTTCCTTTCCTCTCCGTGGGTTCTGCTGCTTTCGCCTTCTAGGAGACATTCATCTGATCTGGAAAGCAGATACAGATGCCTGTCAAAAGGAGCCAGGTTTGTTACATATAATTCCAAAAACTTTAATGATAGGCTTTGTAAATTAATTTACTCTTAATTCAGATGACATAACATAATATCTTCCTGAGATACCATATAACCTTAAACTATAAAGATATATATTTGAGTCTATTTAAAAATGTCTATAATATTAATTTTAAAAATTAAATGTAAAGAGATATATAGGTACATAATTGAAATTCAATCTGAAGCAAAGCCCGAAATTGATTTCTCAAACTAGAGAAAGGGACTCCAAAAGCAGCAAGATTTCTCCTGATAGGTAGGAATCCTATCACTTTTGCTTTATACCTAAGTGATGTTACCTAGTTCTGGGCAAAGAGCAGATGTTCAATAAAGCAAAATTTAAAGGAACTCATTAGTTATTCCTCTAAAAATACCTTTGTGATGTTTGGTTCTGTTTGGTTTGGGTTTTCCTTTTCTTTTGGATGTGGTAGTTAAGCGGGTTAGAAGGAAAGAAGAGAGAAGATGATAGGTGAATTGGAAAAGACCTCCAGGGCAGAAGTAAGCCAATGATTAAAAAAAAAAACAAAACCTGTCAATAATTTAGAAATGAACAACTGCAAGACTGAATTGAAAGGACAGGATTTGTGGGGAACTGCCATACCCAGACCTAATCTTGACAATGTTCTCTCCCATTTGGTAGGCACGAGAACAAGGAACAGATAACGACCCTTGTGAAAATCCTAAGCAATATCCCCTGCTGTGGTTCACTTCCCTAACCAGAGAAAACATAATTTTCTACTTTGTCTTCTTTAGAAGAGTGAAGTGAGCACATCTTTTGCACTGCTTATCTTTGAAAGCTCAGAACTATTTATGTTGATTTGTATACAATAATTATTTACTTAATTAACTAGCCCTCAGCTAGATTGTTCTTTCAGTCCTTAACAAGCAGAAAAGTATATATTAAGATTCCTCTTCAGAGGAAAAGAAATAGGACCTATTGTTTACACTAGAACATATTGAACACAGTTTTCCACATGGCTTCTGCAATGAGATTTCACCTAGTTCCACAACAAGGAAGGAGAAATTACTTTGATATAAGAGCTCAGAGAAACTCAGACATTGCAGATGTATCTATCACTGAAAATTCAGAAATTTTAAAATTTAGTTTATCCTAGTCCAGGCGCGGTGGCTCACACCTGTAATCCCAGCACTTTGGGAGGCTGAGGCGGGCAGATCACGACGTCAGGAGATCGAGACCATCCTGGCTAACACAGTGAAACCCCATTTCTACTAAAAATACAAAAAAATTAGCCAGCCATGGTGGCAGGAGCCTGTAGTCCCAGCTACTCGGGAGGCTGAGGCAGGAGAATTGCTTCAACCCAAGAGGCAACCCAAAAAGAAAAAAAAAAAAAAAATTAGTTTGTCCTTAAAGCCAGTATCTTTAGTAAAATTCTTAAAAGTAACAAAAAGAAAAAATATATAGAAAATCTGTACATTCCCCACAGAGATCGAAGTTAACCTTAAAATAGAATAAGCACAGTACTTAGGGTTACAAATACTTTATTTAATAGGTTAACAGAAATGTATTAAAATTTAATGCTTATGGTACATTAAGAACTTTCCCTTGTGATTCAGGAACTAAAAATCCAAAACCAATCAATTAATCAATGAATAAAGAGAATTTTTGAAACTAGTTTAATGAAATATATCAAGCTCTAAATGCAAAAGACCTTCTTTTACTCTGGTCACAGAAATATTCACGTCAAAGGGATAAAGTGAATGTATGCAGCAAGCAAAGGAGCTGAGAGACAAAATGTACCATTCTTTTAGGACAGCAGATGAAGAGTCTAGCCCACTAGCCCACTCACCAGATGTCCGACTTTGTGTCATAGCCTTGGTGTTTCAAAGCCTCAGGACTCATATAATGGGGAGTTCCAGTTAACGTTGTAGCCAGGTCACAGGATCCCATTAGGAGTCGAGAAACTCCAAAATCTCCTTGAAAAAATAATTAATTTTCATGAATACTTTACGCCAACAGAAAATTAGCTCTGGAAATTAACAACTGAATGAGTGCCTAATTTGACCATTTTATTATGCAATGGTTCATAGCATTTTAACAGGAAAGAGAAGTAATATATCTTAAATTACACAACGCTGGTAAATAGCTTTAAAAACGTAAGTTTTATAGGAGAAGGAAGACTTTAAGCCAGGAAAGTGAATTATGTAAGCTAAAATTCTTTACTTCTGGAATTATGGGAAACTAGACAATTTGATATAAAAAGCTATTTCAAGTCTGAATAATGGCAAACAGAATGATTTTGGAAAAGCTAAATAAGATGATATACAAGTCACCTGAGGGGGGAAGAATTTGTTCTTAAATTTACAATAAAGGAGAGTTTTAAAGAAAAGATCTGAGACTATTTAAGAACATGACTATAAAAATTTGAATCTATCAGCTTTTTTATACTTGCCTAACTAGTTGCACGCTTTTATTCCTTCCTTCCCCAAGAACACCCTATATGATGATTAGATGATCCAGTAGCTGGTATGAGGAGAGGTACAGTTCTGAAGAACTAAAGGTTAACAAAGCCATTATATCAACATTTTAATTATCTATAACCGCTTATTGCTTGTGATGAAATAATATAAATGAGAAACCTGTAGTCACTCATCAAACCAGTAAAATGACTCTAATAACTTGTAAAGTGCCTGGCATGACACAGGGAACTCAGAGTATATTTGAAAATCTATCAAATATGTGGTAAATGTGTATACCTCAATTTATATCAATACTCAGAAACAAAATAATTAGGTTTTGTTGGGCCCATCAGGTAAGAAACCTGGGAAATTTAGTGTTCATTTCAGCAGCACACATACTTAAACATTTGAGAAATTTAAATAAACCAATTATTACTCTAACACTTCCATGTACCATTTACTTAAATTTGATATGATAATATCTAGAATATACTGTTCTGTGTTTTTGGAATTCATACTTTTTAAAATCTTACCAATTTTAAGTAGATTATTTTTCAGAAATATATTCTTTGACTTTAAGTCTCGATGAAGTATCCTCCTACAAAAGACAAAAAAGATACACAACTTCATGCAGAATATAAAATTTTTAAATCCCCATGTAAATAATATATATTGTTGCATGTGATTTATACATAAATATATACTCCCATAGATATATCTTTCAATGTTTAAAAGCTACAAAGTCACAACACTTTCCAGTTTCCCTGTTTGAGGAAACAAAAGTTTTAAAATAAAGATTTTAAAGGGTGGGGAACATGTGGTTTGGAGAAAGGTGATATGCTTTCAACTATTTCAGTAGGCTATATTTTATTATGTTTTTGTAGCATAACCTACATAGTACTATATCCAGTAACCATATCCTCAATTGATAGACCAGTTTGTAATCTATTATTACCCAAATGTCCAAGTTTTGTATACTTGTGAAATAATAATGTTGTTGATGACATTTAAGAATAGGTAACATTTATTAAATATGACTACAAGCCAGTACTATAAATTATGTCAGTTAAGACCTTTATTTTATGGCATTATGAAGAACTAGAAAACTTGAAAATCTTTACATAAAAAACTAAAATGCTGAATAAAGTATACAAATATCTTCATATATGCACAGTTGAGCTCACATAAAAATGAGAAAAATTGCCTGAGAATTATTCAAAAAGAAAATGAAAGTCATTCTAGGCCATAAAACATTAACAAATTTGAAAAAAGAGAAATCATACCATTTCTGCTCTCACATCAAAATGGAATCAAACTAGAAATAAATAACAGAAAGAAAACTGGAAAATCACAAAATATGTAAATATAAAACCACACACTTCTAAACAATGAAGAAGAAATCTCAAGAGAAATTTTAAAATATTTTGAACTAAATGAAAACGAAAACACACTTTATCAAAATTTGTGCGATATAGCAAAAGCAGTGCTTAGAGGGAAATGTATAGCATTTAATGTATATATTAGAAAAAAAAGGAAGATCTAAAATCAGTTATCTAAGCTTCCACCATAGAAAACTAGAAAAGAAAAGCAAATTAAATCCAAAGTAAGGAGAAATACTATAGCAGAAATAATAAAATTGAAAACATGAAACCAATAAAGAATATCAATAAAAATAAAAGCTGGTTCTTTGAAAAGATCAATACATCAACCAGCCTCTAGCCAGCCTCACTAAAACAAAAAGGTAGAAGACAAAAACTATTAAAATCAAAAATGAAAGAGAGGGTGTCACTACAGATTCCCGTGGACATTAAAAGAATAAAAAAGCAACACTATTAACAATCTATAACCACAAATTTGATAACATAGATTATAGAACCAATTCCTTCAAAGACACAAGCTGCCAAAAACCACACGAGAAGCAGGCAATTGAATAGGCCCATCTTCATTAAATAAATTCAATCAATAATTAATAAGTTTCCAAATAAAAAACACCAGGCCCAGATGGGTTCACTGGCAAATTCTACCAAATATTTAAGGAAGAAATTACACCAAATATCTATAATCTCTTTCAGAAAATAAAAGCAGAGGAAATACTCCCTAACTCATTTTAAGATGTCAGCATCATCCCAGTATTAAAACCAAACAAAGACATTACAAGAAAAGAAAACTAAAAACCAGTATCTCTGATGAATGTAGACGCAAAAATCCTCAATGAAATATTAGCAAATCAAATCCAACATTGTAGGCCAGGTGTGGTAGCTCATTCCTGTGGTCCAAGCACTTTGGGAGGCCGAGGTGGGCGGATCACCCGAGGTCAGGAGTTTGAAACCAGCCTGGCCAACATGGTGAAACTCCATCTCTACTAAAAATACAAAAGTTAGCTGGGTGTGGTGGCAGGTGTCTGTAATCCCAGCTACTTATGAGGCTGAGGTAGGAGAATCGCTTGAATCTGGGAGACAGAGGCAGCAGTGAGCTGAGATCACCCCACTGCACTCCAGCCTGGATGACAGAGCGAGATGCCGTCTAAAAAATATACATATTATACACCACAACCAAGTGGGATTTATACTAGGTATGCAAAGCTGCTTTAACATTTGAAAGTCAATTAATGTAATCCATCACATCAACAGAATAAAGAAGAAAAATCACATGAAAATATCAATAGATGCAGAAAAAGCAATTGACAAAATCCAATACCCATTCATGACAATAACTCTGATAAACTGGCAATAGGGAATATTTACAAGAAACCTACAGCTAACATCACACTGTACAATGAGAACCCTGAAGTTTTTCTCCTGATATCAGGAACAAGGGAAAAATGTCCCCTCTAATCATTTATTTTCAACATTATACTGAAAGTCCTAGCTAATTAAGTAAAACAAGAAAAAGAAGTACAAAAGGTATAGAGATGGGAAAAGAAAAAACAGACTCTCTCTGTTCACAGATGATACGATCATCTAAGTAGAAAATCCAAAAGAATCAATTAAGAAAACCTCCTGGAATTAAGAAGTAATTATAGCAATGTTTCAGAATACAAGATTGATACACAAAAATCAATTGCTTTCATATATACCAGCAATGAACACGTAGAATTTGACATTAAAATTAAAATATACTTACATTAGTACCCCAAAAATGAAACACTTAGGTATAAATCTAATAAAATAGGTACAAGATCTATATGAGGAAAACTACACAACTGTAATGAAAAAAAAATCAAAGAGGAACTAAATAAATGGAAAAATAATCCATGTTCATGGATGGGTAGACTCAATATTGTCAAGATATGGATTCTTTCCAAATTGATCAATAGATGCAATGTAACCCCAATCAAAATCCCAGGAAGTTATTTTGTAGACATTGATAAACAGATTCTAAAATTTGTATGGAAAGGCAAAAGACCTATATTAGGTCATTTGAAGGAGAACAACAATGTTGGGGGACTGATACTACCTGATGTGAAGACTTTCTATAAAGTACAGTAATTAAGACAGTATAGTATTGGGGAGGAAAAAAAAAAAAAGATCAATAAAACAGAATAGGGAGCCCAGAAATAAAACTGCATGAATACAGTCAACTGATCTTTGACAGAGAAGCAAAGGCAATGCAATGGAACACAGTTGAAACAACTGGGCATTCATATACAATAGATGAATCTAGACATAGACCTTACAGCCTGTGCAAAAATTAACTCAAAAATGAATCGCAGGCCTAAAAAATGTAAAACGTAAAACTATAAAACTGCTAGAAAATAATATGTGATAATATCTAGATGATTTTAAGTTTGGTGATAACTTTTAAAATAGAACACCAAAGGCACAATCCATGAAGTAATTGATAAGCTAGACATTATTAAAATAAAAAAATTCCTGCTCTGCAAGAAAACACTGTCAAGAGAATAAAAAGATAAGCCATAGACTGGGAGAAAAGATTTGCAAAAGACATATCTGATAAAAAGACTGTTGGCCAGGCGCAGTGGCTCATGCCATGTAATCCAAACACTTTGGGAGGTTGAGGCGGGCAGATCACAAGGTCAGGAAATCGAGACCATCCTGGCTAACGTGGTGAAACCCTGTCTCTACTAAAAATACAAAAATAAAATTAGCCAGGCATGGTGGCGGGCGCCTGTAGTCCCAGCTACTTGGGAGGCTGAGGCGGGAGAATGGCATGAACCCGGGAGGTGGAGCTTGCAGTGAGCCAAGATCGCAACACTGCACTCCAGCCTGGGTGACAGAGACAGACTCAGTCTCAAAAAAAAAAAAAGATTGTTATCCAAAATATACAAAGAACTATTAAAACTCAACAATAAGAAAGCAATCTGGTTTTAAAATGGGCCAAAGACCTTAACAGACACCTCACAAAAGATGATATACAAATGGCAAATAAACCTGAAAAGATGTTCCACATCATATGTCATCAGAGAAATGCAAATTAAAACAACAATGAAGTACCACTACACACCTATTAGAATGGCCCAAATCCAGACACTGACAACACCAAATGCTCACAAGGATGTGTAATAACAGAAACTCTCATTCACTGCTAGTGGGAATACAAAGTGGTTCAGCCACTTTGGAAGACAGTTTGGCAGTTTCTTACAAAATGATACAAATGCTTACCACATAATCCAGCAATCATGTTCCTCGGTATTTATTCAAATGAATTAAAAACTATGTCCACACAAAAACCTGCACAATGGTGTTTATAGCAGCTTTATTCATAATTGCCAAAACTTGAAAGCAACAAACACGTCCTCCAGTAGGTGAATGGTTAAATAAACTGTGGTACATTCACACAATAGAATATTATTTAGTGCTAAGAAGATATGAGCTATTAAGGCATGAAAAGACATAGAGGAAACTTAAATGCATACTACTAAGTAAAAGAAGTCAGTCTGAGAGATCTATATATGTTTCCAGCTATATGACAGTCTAGAAAATGTTAAACTATGGAGACAACAAAAAGATAAGTGGTTGCCAAGGTTTAAGAGGGAGGGAAGAATGAGTAAGGAGAGCACAGATAATTTTTAGGGTCATGCAACAACTTTATGGTACTAAAATGATGGTTACATGTCACACATGTGCCCAAACTCAAAGAATGTACAGCACTAAGAATGAAGCCTAATGTAAACTATAGACTTTGACGATAATGATCTGTCAATGTAAGTTCATCTGTTATAACAAATGTATGGCTGGTAGCAATGCTGATAACAGGGGAGGCAATGCATGTGTGGGAGCAGGGGGTATAAGGGAAATCTCTGTACCTTCCACTCAATTTTGCTGTGAACCTAAAACTGCTTTAAAAAATAAAGTTTATTTTAAATTTTTAATCAGAGCTTTGAGTAGATTCAATAAACTTTGATTTCAGGGTCCACAAAGGAAGAGGTATCTTAGTAAAAAACTAAAGCTTTCAGCTGAAAGCTCTGAAAAACTTCTTCATAGAAATAAAGGTAAACTAAAAATAGACCAAACCTCCGAAAGCCTACAGCCTACAGTTAAACTATTTCAGTTCCTGATTAGATCAAGGTGATCTGCCCTAAATATAACTGCCAGTCAGAGAAAAAAAATAAATAAACCCTTTCCAGAGAAAGATAGT